CCTTCCCACACCCTCTGCAGTCCACCCAGATCTGGTTTCTTACCATGATGCTCCATGGAAACTAAAACAACTCCCACCACCTCCATGTCACTTAATTAAATGGGTATTTTTCATAACAATAGTTCATGACTTCTCAGGAGCTCAGTGAAGCCCCTTTGCAGACACCCATTTCCCTTGGCTTCGGAAATGCTCATGTTCTGGTTTTCTTCCCACCTCGCTTGCCTGTTTCACTACTTGCTGTTAAATGCTGGAGCTCCTCGTAGCTCATTCCGGGGCCCTTCTCAGCCTGCACTTCTTCCTGGGTAATCTCATTCATTCTCTTGGCTTCAGCCTCCACAAACATGCAGATGACTCCCCAAATCAAATCATCAGTTTAGACCCTGACCCAGCTCTCGACTTTATACATACCTGACCTCTCCTCTTAGATATCTCAAAAGCACCTCAAAATTAGAAGTTCAAGGCTGAACCAACCTGGTTTTCTACCACGAACCTGGTCTTCTTCCAGTGTTTCCCATCTTGGTCCATGGTAAGCAAGCCAGAAATCTTGGAACCATCCTTGACAACTGCGTCTTCTTTGTACCATTTCCAATCCATCACAGAATCCTGTACCTTTTAGCTCACAAATCCCTCTAAAGCCCACCTTCTTCTATCTCCACCACTACTACCCTTACCACCAGGATCCTCCCCCGGGCCACCAAGGTCACTTCGGCATCTACCCTGACACCCTTCCACACTGTTCTCTGAGCAGCGGCTGCAGTAATCTTTCTAAGATGCAAATCTAATCATGTTATTCTTTGACTTAAAACCCTTCAGTGGGTTCCCTTTGTTTTCCAGAAAAAGACAAAAACCCCTCCAGTTATGACCAGGCCCTGTGGGGTCAGGCCCCCACCTCCTACCTGGTCTCACTTCACACCACCGTCTGCCTCGCGTCTGCCTCGCTGTCCGCAGTCAAACCCCAGCCCCTCCCGGCTCAGCCACTTGCTCTCCCTCCCACAGCAAGACCTTTGTGCTCCTCTGGGTCTGGGAAGCTCTTTCCTTCATTCTTTGCCTCGTTATTTCCTACTGGTCTTTCAGACTCAGGCCAAGAGACGCTTCCTGGAAGAGGCTTTCCTTGGCCTCTTTGAAGAGGTCAGCTTTCTCTGCCCCACTGATGTCTCCGCTCCTCCATTGTCAGTTGCAATGTCACAGGTATTTGCATAACAATCTCTGCCTCTTTCCGCTCATCACTGTATCCCAGTACCTCCCTGGATACTTAGCACTTCATAGGCACTAAATATAAATACTTGTTGAATGAGTAAATGAATTAATATTTTTCCCTGTCAGGTTTCTAATACTTAACCCGTCTCTGGGCTATATCCCCCTTCATCTCTGAGTGAATACATGGGGGTCACAAACTCATTTTTAATATAAACATGTTTCTATGCTTTTACAACTAGGGTATGTCAGGCACCCATATGTGGGGCATGCCAGACATAACTTTTACTATAAGATTTGGGGCCAAATAATTATTTTTGTACTTAAAAAATGTAGGTAAAATGAAGTAGAGCCCAAAATTTGTACTAGAATGTAGCATAAAGTATAAGACTTCAAAGTAAGGCTGTACTTGGCAAAGACCACCTGCGCCTCTGTTTCCTGACACCTGGGGGGCAAGCAGTCGCTCTCCTCTGCTGTTAGGGGGATACCTACCTACAAAAATGTAAAAGCACTCTTAGGAGTTTGCACATAATTAGAAAAGGGGAAAAAAAGGTTCCTATTCCTTCAAAACAAATGTAACATGTCCTAAACAGTCTGCTATTTTGGATGGTACTGCTTTCCTCCTCCAAAACAGCCTTGGATGCAGAAAAAGGAAGAAAAGGTTGTGAGGGGGTGTTAGTGATTCCCAGGTGATGTGCCTCCGAGGCCTGGGACCAGGCTGGGACCATGGCAGGGACACTCCCAGAAAGGACCCTGGACAGGGACACCGCAGCCAAGCTCAGCCTCCCCTCTCCTTCCAATCCCAAGAAATGTGTCTTAGTCTCCTTCCCTCTTCTCTAGACAGACTCACGTGCCCTCATGCCTGGCTGTACTGCCCTGCAGCGCTCCCAGAAGGAAGGCCTCCACATGGCCCTCTCCACAGGGGCCTGCGGAACCTTGTTCCTAATGCAAGGCTCACTTCTCAGAGCCCCAGAGAGACATCCAGGGCCCCCACAGTGACCACAGGGGAGGGAAGTACTCATGAGGGGTAACTGGTATGGAAGGGAGAGGATGCATTTATGTCCCCCGGCACTCAAGATGCCCAAGCATCTTCAAGGGACAGAAACACGCGGTGCACGGATGGCCAAGTCCGCGGAATCCTCACATATGATCTCCAGGAAACTAGCTCGAGGTACGCAATCTGCAGGAGACTGGGGGAAACAGCTGTGCTAAACAAACGAGGCTGGCATTTGGTTTGGGGTGTTTTTGCACCTGCTATGTATATAACCATCCAGATGCATTTACATTTCCCCTTCTTTAATTCTATGTATTATCTGGCTCATTTTCTGGGTGAGGAAATCAAGGCTCAAGAGAGCTAGTGCGTTCCCAGACTCACCCCCCAGACGGGCAGTGAGACCCAGGTCCGCGCCACTCCACGCACTCTCCCACCCGCCGTGTTCGCTGCCACGCGCTCTGCCTCACCACCTCCCCGGAACCACCCCCGGTGTTCCCAGTGGCCCACCATTACCACTACAGAAGCAAAGAAATCCCAGTTTCCAAGGAGGACACCGAGAAGCCTCAACACGTTTTGTACCATTGTGACTTATAGAAACTACTAGGGACACAAACACTGAACAAATGATTAGGGGAGTAGGTCCCACTTCTTATGGCTTTTAATACAAACAAAATGAACATTTTCACTATTGACAACCATTGTAATGATAATCAATAAAAATAACTAGTGCCCAGGCTAAATATAAGTGATCCATGCCAGGTCAGCTGCTCCCCAGAGAAATGAAAAATCACCTTTTCAGGTGATATTCTTATGAAATCCTCTGCCTTTGGTGGCATCAGTGCCACCACCGGAGAACAACCGTGCCATGCCCTGCTGCTTCCGAAAGGCTTTGGGTCCGGCAGACCTGCAAACATGCCCCTCTCCTCAACGCGATCTCTTCCCCAACAACAGCCAAGGTCGGCCTCCCAACTCGTAAGTCAGATTCCGTCGTTCCTCTGCTCAAACTGATGACTTTTATTAATACTGGGAAGCCTGACCTACAAAGCCTTATGCCAGCACTTGCCGGTGGGTCTGGAATTGCCCCAAGGAAGTGGTTTGAAAATTCAGTGCAGCAGTTTCTGTTTGCTTAATGACTGGGGACCACCTCTAGCTGTAGAGAGGCAGGGTCCCTGGGATCTGTGGGTCCTGCCATGTGCTGGTGCGTCTTCCACAAAGAAAACTTGGCCCCATGTTGTGCATTTATTTTAAATGACCTACTGAACAGCCAGTTGTTGCTATCTGGGCCTAGAGTCTAATGCATTTTTACTATAAATACACAGAGTTTTCTGAATGATTTAAAACTTCCTAAAACATCCAGGAATCCAAAATGCTGCATCCTTTGAAAGAAGATTTAATTTGCTTGATCATAAATTTATCAACAGCGTTCACCAGTTTGGAAAATCGCAGCACTGCTGATGAATGACATCCCTTGTGATAATTTAAGTCAGCCATGTAACATGGGTGCCCTGGCCTCTATATAAACATTGTGTGTGTGTGTGTGTGTGTGTGTGTGTGTGTGTGTGTGTGTGTGTACGTAGCTGCTGCATTGAAGGTGACTCTTCATATAGGATGACTGCTAGTGTGGTGTTTATGTATTAAAATACGTATTATTTATTACAAATGGATTTCCTTTTATTCCTCTCTTATATTGCAAGGATCTCATATTGATTTGTTTTAATTAGGTGTGTGGGAAGTTTCTACTGCCTGTGAATTTCACTGCAGGGTAGCAAAGGAGAAGAGAGAAAACGCCGGATTTATTATACAAGGCAGAGTCGGGTGTGAAAGCGTCGAGAACATTATCCTTTATGACGTGCCCCCCATCAGTCTCCGGAACTGACTCTCCCATCACTCACTTCACTCCAACCACATGACCTCCGTGCTTGCCCTCAAAGCCACCAAGCCTGTGCCCGCCCCAGGGCCTCGGCTCTCACTGGGCCTCTGCTTGGAAGGCCCATCATCTAGCTCTCATTAGCACTTACTGATCTCTCCTGCTTCGTTCGTGACTCTCAGATGTCACCTCCTGGGAAAGCCTCCATGACCCCACACTTCACCTTACCTTTTTATCATCAGTTAAGTTCCTCCGCCATGTATCTTTAGCTACAATTCTACTGTCATATTATTTGCCCCCCTACTCTAGATCTCTGCCATGCCATGAGGGAAGAGGGCGAAGTGCCTTTGGAACCCAGTGCCTGGAGCATGGAGAGTGGCACAGAGTGGGCATCTGATGAATATGTGTACAGTGAATGAATGACTGCATGAAGATACTGCCCATGCTCCTGATAACCGGGAGCCACGTCTCTTCCTCCTCCCTATCTACATAATTTATAGGCAATCTAAGTCAGCATTAATTCTTTTAAATATATCCATTAAATGCCTACCATATTTCAGGCACTGAGAACGCAATAATAAATTAGACAAATCCTGCCCATACACTTTGTAAATAATGATCAGGTCCAGCACCTCTGAAGCATTTGAATCTTTCAGACAAGTGATTTCATAAAAAAAACCACCCATTTCTATTTTATATTGAGTGTCTTTTAAATAGAGTGTGATATTTATAAATGTCTATTTATCATGTATTAAGAAAAAAGCTCTTATCACCTATAAAGGTATTTTTGCTAGTATGAAAAATCTTGCCCCCAGTCCCAGTGAGATCCTTCTTCAAGTCCCCAAAACATCACCCCTCAACACTGAGGGAATAAAGGCTGGGAGATGTGCGAGTGGAAGCTTCTAGCCCCCTTAAGTGGTGTAGCCAGCAGGGGCCTCTGCCTACCTGGCTGGGATGAAGCTCCCCTGCTAAGGCACAGAGGGACCATCACCCCCTGAAGTCCTCCACCAGCTAGAGAAGTCCAGTCTGTCTTCTTTCTGGGGGAAACACAAGTTGGCATCAGCCCCAGTGATGGCACACGGCCACCCTGGACGCTCCCGACAGGGGCTGACTCTTCAAACCCTTTCATTCACCCACAGTGTGGCCGAGCACCTTTCCCACATGCTGACGAGGGACGAAAGCGGCTCAAAGCTAACAGCCTGTATATCTGTACAGATCTGCACAGGGGACTTTCTCATCCATTTCCACATTTGGAGGAGAGATCATTTAATCTTGTGTTTATAAATAAGCAATGAACATACACAGAGTTTCAGCAATTTGACAAAAGCTGAAACCAAGGTCTTCTGATTCCAAGTTAGAAAACAGGAGTGATTGGCTAAAACCAGGTTTGGGGGATTATCTGTGGGTTTTGATTCTCAGGGGTATAGAACTTCACCAGAGGAGGTGGCTACACTGCACCCTGGTCAAACGTTTGAACAAATCTCAAATCAATGCCCACTTGGGCACACATCCCCTACCAGTTTCTACTCTCAGCCCAGCTCCCACGGTTTCATGAAACCTTTACTCCTAGTAAGTTTCTAGACTTGAGCAAATCGTGGAGTGGGCCATAAGGAACTCCATCCTTGTCCTGACCTTACACAGTGATAGGGGGACAACCTCCTTACCTCTCTTAGTTCTGTCCCAGACCCACTGCAGCAGAAACGCGGGGAAAGTAAAGACACAGATTCTGGATACAGGTGAAAAATATGACATGTCCCTTCCCTAAACTCCCTCGCCACCCTCCCACCCACCTCCCACACACCCACCAACGTTTCCTTTCAGGCCAGAGCTTAAAGCAAACATATCTAGGATAGACTGAGCTAACAATAAGAAAAAGGCTCCCAAAGGGTCAGCCGAGGAGTTTCTGGTCCACACCAGAATCTTCCAAAGGGCGTACCCATGGGGCTGGCGGAGGATGGTTAGTACCTGAATTGACGTCCCACCAAGCTGACTCAGAAAGGCTCTTACTGCAAGAACTTTAAGTCCCTTTAAAGTGCCATATAACCTCAACAGATTTAAAGTTTGAGTTTCAATTTGCTACAAATGTGCACATGACCTACAGGCAAAAAATACCCGGAGTCCTCCGATCTCCCTCTCAATTCCCACCGCTCGGCACGGATTCGTTAGGCAGTGAGTGGGTTCACCCCTCTCACTTCACCCCGGCTCCCTTCAGGTGCAGGGCAGCGGCCTCACTCTGGGCTCTGGGCCGAGACCCACGCGGGGCGATGCCAGCCCCCAGCACTCAGCCGCCGGGGGGAGAGGCACACCTTCTCGGGTTTCTTGGGTTCAACTGAGGTGGAGGTCAGTTCCTGGCCCAGGCGGCTCCCGCTAGCTAATACGGCGGAGGCTGCAGTGGACAGAGGAGAGTGAGCCAGACCAGCCTAAAATAGAAATCCAAGTTCTGTCCCTGTCTGCCCAAGCTCCCAGTCTGACTGAAGGTGGCTCATTAGATGAGACAGGGCAAGAGAGCAGAAGTGAATGGAGGCTAAGAGATGGCTTGTTGGGAATTATGAAAACAGCATTCAGATGCAACCCTCAGAGCGTGTCCTGCAAACAGGAAAGATGACAAACTTCTCACAATAAAGTGCATGTAAGTGTAAGACCTTCACGTTTCTGGGGACAGGCCTGTCTGTGGCCGGTAATCAGTGTACTGCTGTGCGGCTTATTCCAGTGAGACAAAGAATAATGATTACATCTGACCTTGTAGGTGAGGGAGTGAGGGGTGATCTCTGGCACAAAGCCCAGCCTTCGGAACACAAAGTAACACTGATGACCACAGAGTAAGAAATTACCTTCTGCCTGACCCCATCCATCCTGTGACCCACCTTAGTCAAGGTGGGGGTCACCTTGGCAGACAACTGGATGCTTCCTCATCTGTAGATGGGACAGTCTGCCTTATCTGTGTTCTGAGAGGTAAAGGAGGGAACCACAGTGGTCCCAGAACCGGTGGCCTGGCATCTCGGTCACTGAGTACAAGTAATTCTCCTATGAAGTAAAGGATTCAAAGACTGTGTCGGTCAGGCTGAGCAGGGAGATGCAGCAGACATCGGAGCCTTCACCAGACAATGAAAATCAGCAAGGGAGGAACAGAGAAAGAATGAAGAGCGAGGGAAGGGAGGAGGAAAGGGGGTCCAGGATTCCCAGGGAAAGGGGCTTCCTTTCTCTTGCCCAGAGCCTCCAGGGGAGGATAAATTAATCACCAACCTAGCATGAAGGCATGAAAATAAAAGAGGCACCTGCCAGGTGACCATCTCTGCCGGGACTCGAACCCGGAACCTCTGGATTAGAAGTCCAGCGCGCTCGTCCATTGCGCCACAGAGACCTCACCACACACACAGCATCAGCACCAGAACTGAAAAAGCACATACCTTCTGCATCACCGAGCCATCTGAGCATCCCGCTCTCTGACGGTGGGGGGGACAGGGACAGCTGGAAAATCTGGAGTGGAGATCCAACCAGCCGGCTGCACCCAAGCTTTCCTCAATACTGTGGGTCCTGGGTCCTCAGAGGATGGGAGGGATGTGAAGGTGGTCATTTCCCCAGTCCCGGAATCTCTGGTGGGGTAGGACAGAGCTACAGCCTCTGCTCTCCTTCCCTCTCCATCCCTAAGGGAGGAAACGGAGAACATCTCTATTCTCATGCTAATTAGGCAGAGCCACCCAGCTCCTCAGAGGAAACAGAAGCCATCTCCACCTCCACCCCTCTCCCTCACTGTGGTTTCATCCCAGTCCAGCTATTCTCAGACAGGGGCTGGGCAAAGCTGGGAGATTCAGGAAAACCCCCGGTCCCTGAGACAAAGGAGCTGCTTCCGTGCAGAAACAGTGTGAACAGCAGCAGAGAGCGGCAGGGAGGCTGGGCTCCAGAAGGCTGCTCCAGTTCTCGGCTTTGAGAGCTGCATGTGTCAAGCCTACGGAAGAGATGGGAGACTGATGTGATGTTCCTCCAGCAGCTTCAGTAGAATTGAGGATGAGGGAGGAGACGGAACAGCAGTGAGTGTGTGTTTGAGAGAGTGTGCGTGCGTGCGTGCACGTGTGTGTGCGTGTGTGTGTGTGTGTGTACATATAGGGAGGAGGGAAAGAGGCTGCTCTCTAATGAAATACAGATGGTCCTCGCACAGCTCTCCATTAGTACCTGCTCCCCTCTCCCCTTCCTGAGCTCCAAGTCTCTGCCTCATTTACTGAAGGAGGATTTCTCAGCTGCCTGGGCTTGCTAGGGGCTCTAGAACAACCAGACTGACCATCCTCTGTAACGGCACATAAGGGCCTCCGAATCCAGCCAGGATCCAAGAAAAGAGATCCTATTTTTAAAAACCTCCTAGGGAAGACAATGCCATAATCACTGTTGGTTATCGTTTCCACTATGCCAGTCCTTCTGAATATCTAATCTGAGTCCCTCTTACCTGACTGTCAGCTCATTTTTTCCTATTTGATTCCTAGGCCCATCCAGGGACAACTAGCCACTATGCTCCCAATGACAGCACATTGATTTAATGACGGATTCAGTGCCCACTGCCCCACTCCTACTCAAAAGGTGACCGTGAAGGCAGAGCGCTGGCTCAGACGCCCTGTTCTTCCCTCCAGGTATGTGCTTCTATGCCCCCACTCTGGGCACCACCAAGTGACTCCTACCTCAAGATCGCCCTTTCCAACGGGGAGGCAAAGTGAAGAACAATACAATACAATGTGCTTTGCCTGGAAGATGTGTAAGGGCCCTTCCAACTCTAAGACTTCCAACTGCAACCTCTCCCACATCCCACCCTTCCATACAGCTCCAGAAGTGAGCCCTGGGAGAGACAGGATCAAGGAGATGCAGTCAGGTCAGTAGGCAAGGGACTGACCCCAACACATGGAGCGAAGCAGCCTCTCCAACCGGGCTTGCCCTCCATCCAGGCAGGGCCTTGAGGCAGGAGCTTCTTTGCTCCTTAAGACATCACGGGTCCCCACAGCCTGAACGTGGAGCCCCAGCTCTCCAACTCCCTCCAAAAGCTTCATTCTTTGTGTATGATGTTCTCATTTGGCACTGGGGACACAATGATGAGAGATAAAGAATGGCATGCCCCCTACCCAACCGTGCAAGGATCCTGTAGGCAACTCCTAATACAGGAACTACTCTGAAGATGCATGGGGGGAAAGAAGGCACCGACCTTACTGCCCACCAAACAAGGGGCCACTTTTCCAAGTTCACACAAAGACCCACCTCTGGAAGCAGAAAGATCCAGCTTCAAGAGCAAATTGTGCAGCTTATCTGCTTCAAGACCTGAGAAAATTATTTCACTTCACAGTCTTCCACTTCCCTGTTATAAACTGAGGGTGACAAGAAATGCTACTGGGGAAGTCTAGCTGAGACTTCCTGGTACGAGGCAGAGTCCCCGTCCCTCCTCTGAACTATGCCTTCTGACTCTTGACTCCAGTGCCTGGGTTACCTCCTTCCTGTTGAACATTCTTTCTTCATCCTTCCCTCGCCCCTTCAACCATCTCTCCACTCTAGCAAAAAGCACCTCTCCTCATCAAGTGTCTTTCCAGGACCTCTTACACTTAGAACCTGTATCAACAAAAATACTCTGTACCTTGTCCAAGTGAGAGATGTCTCTCCAACATCTCTTCACTTTATCATTTACAAATCAGATAAAGCTTCTTGTAAGTGTGAAGAATGTCTCTAAACTGGGCTCCTAATTTAAAAATACGGAGGGAAGTGATCAAAGAAAGCAGTAGTTTATAAGGGGCAGGAAAGATGAGGCAAAGCTATTCAAGATGACTGACGAAAGAGTACAATCTTTTTCTTCTTTTAAACTAGGTATGTCACTCGTGTTTATGTAAAACATTAAGGTGAGGACATTCCCCTTCCAAAGAAATTTCTGGACTGATTTAATTCTCTGAAGATCTGTGACTCAAACATTACTCATACCTCTAATTGCATACCACTCTTTGACCCCAGAAAATGCGGATATTCACGCAGTACTTCATTCATAAAGAGTCGCCAGGATACATGTGATTAATGCCAAAAACTTCCTCCCATTTGCCTAGAAACAAACACAACCTACTGTGTGGTTCCCACTCACAGCTTCCCTAAAGGCACCTGTACAACAAGTCCATGTTTTAAATTCTAAGGGATATTAGATGGAGGAAGACAGTGAAATAGTCATTGTATCAATAACACAACCTTTATAAACTATACTTTCACCTTTCAGTCCCTACAGTGTCCCAAACCCTGATTGGCACCCATCCATCATGGGCACATCCTCTAGAAGTGGTTTCCATAAACCACCCTCCAGTGTCCCTACCCACTACCAGCTCCCTCTTCCTCTGTCACCCCCTCGGGGTGGGCCCACCTCAACCCTCCAGGGAGGTTGAAAAAGGTGCTTTGTAATATCAGGCCTATGGTGCCCTCTCTGCAACTAACAGATGTTCGGCTCACAGCTCCGTAGCCCTTAAAGAAGGGCAACGTGAACATACCGATAAGGCCAAGGCCCATCAGGGCTTCCCCAGACATCCGTCCTGTGGGTGGGGTCTTGCCCCAAGCTGTTTCTCTAACCCATCATAATGAAGCACTCATGTCCCTAAAGGCTTGTTTCCCTCCACTCACAGCCGGTGAGCCTGACTGAAGATGGCTCATTCCCTCCCATCCCTCTTCCTCCCGCAGAGGACAGAAGGGGGTGTGTCAGGGGGTAACAGCCTGAGAACCAAGCCCAAGGAGGACACATACAGGGCAGGTTTTGCTTTGATCATCACATGCTCCTTTCAGAAACCATTCCAGGTCTCGCCCGGCACAACTGGGTTACCCAGGTCTCTCACACCTCCCCAAAGTAGGTCTAGAGTCCATCTATCTCGACAATGAGCTGGACCCCAGCGCCTCTTCAAGGTCACAGTGGAGTGCTTGCAGAGGCCAGCCCCCTCTGGGAGTCCGAGGAATGGCGAAGAACCTGGAGGTGTCTCCCTCCCCTGTCTGCCTCCGAATCCCACCACTCTCTGCCTTCTCTGGGTAACGGTCTAGAGAATTCTAGGCAAGTGTTTCCCCAAGGATACGGACGTTCTCCCTGGTCAAGAAGGATGAGGATGCTAGCAAAAATGTTTAGTGAAAGGAGTGGCCTTTGGCCACTATGTGCCACCAGATCTTTCTAGGAACCGAGGGGAAAGCACTGTCACTGCTTTACCTCGATTCCTAAAAGAATAAGTGAACCATTGGCTCAATCCCTCCAGTTCTGACACATTTCTCTTTAGAATCCCAGTCCCCTTTGCCTCTGTTTCTGACTCCAAGCCACTTCTTGGGTGCTCAGTCCCAGCACCCCTGTCCTATACTCACTGCTTCCTCCTGCCGTCTCGGTCCATCCCTCCTTCTTCCTCAAGGCAGGTCACCCGTAGTCACTTCCTGACTCAAAGTGCCCTGCCTCCTGGCCCTCGCCTCTCCTTGCTCATCTCCCCACGTTCTGCAGGAGGCATTCCCTACCCCTTCCCCCCAAGCCGGTCCTTTCTACTGCTCCGTCCCCTGCTCAGGTCCCCCCGCCACCTGCTCTCATCTAGGATCCATCTAGTCCCAACCCTGCTGCCGCAGCTCACTGTTCCTGGTCTCCCCCAAATCCAGCCCCTGTTCCTCTCTGTCTCTGTCCCCCATAGCCACCATCCTGAAGGCTCTCTGGGGTCCCCAGACCTCCAGGCACCCCCACCCTTGCCCTCAGTCACCACACCCCGTAACTTGGCTCCAGAGCCTCGGTGCTGTCCCTCCTTCATCCTCTTTCCTTCCTCCAGATTTCATTGCTGGCATCTTCTGCTCCCCATCCTTCTAACCCAGATCTCTTCTCCGCCTTAAATCTTCCCTCTGCAGGACCTGTGCTTTTGACTCTCCTGCCGCCCGGTCCACACCCATTCCTGTGCGTCCTGCAGAATCACTTGCTCACTGCCTCTTTGCCACATTTACACCCACGCGCCCTGGGACCTTCCTGGCCCTACTGCACACCCGTGTCTATTTTGCTTCTTTGCCTGAGAGGCCGTAAACAGGGCACTGCTAATCCCTCCGGCCTGGAGTTACCAGGGGGGTGGGGGATGGGCTGGCAGCCAGTCCCCTTCATCTTCACGGGCATCTCAGGGCCCCTGGTCCTTAAAGGAGCAGACAGTCTAGACCAGGGGCCAGAGAGCTAGAAGATGGGTCCTTAAGGGGTCAATGGCCCTGCGGTCTTAGGGCAAGGGATTCAAGAGCATCGGTTTTGCCGACTAGTAGGAATGCGCGGGGCTTTCTTTCCCCTACGTCTGCTCCCCTTCCCACTCAGCCCGGAAGGAGCCTTGGAGTGGATGTAATAAAGTAGATCCCGCAACAGCAAGAGAAGAAAGATATTCATCTTTTACAATGCATCAGTTTAAATAAAGAGTATAACCATGAAAGTTTCGATCCCAGACTAGGCTTGGCCTTCGATAGGGACTGACAAATCATAGCCACGTCTATATACCATTTATTCTTACACAATAATCAGTCACTGCCTACCTAAGACAGGCCCTTGTAAAGTTTGTCCTTGCTATGGTGTAGTCTTTTTCTACACACATACTTAACAGTAACAATATTATACACAGCAGTGATAACAGTATAACCCATTCGGGTCCCCAGACTCCATTCCAAT